TACATAGATAGTTCATATAGTATTGGTATTATATTATTAGTTTATATATATTTATATTTATTTTTTGCTATAACCCAGATCCAGAATTTTCTATTATCGGAAACATAATGAAAGTTTGAAGCGGTGTTATTAACTATTACTAAAGAAAAAATCGCAACTAACTTTTCCAGGGGCTGATGATAGNAAGTTTGAACGCTCTAGGTCCACGGGGACAGGAGTTATGAATTTCCGGTCAGACACACACCGACACACACACAAACACAACGACAAAAAAACAGACATACTTAGCGAATTATATATAGTAGGATAAGTTCGGAGGGTGGCAGTAAAGGTCCGATATTCAGCTATTCCGGGTTTACATAGATAGTTCATATAGTATTGGTATTATATTATTAGTTTATATACATTTATATTTACTTTTTGCTATAACCCAGATCCAAAATTTTCTATTATCGGAAACATAATGAAAGTTTGAAGCAATGTTATTAACTATTACTAAAGAAAAATCGCAACTAACTTTTCCAGGGGCTGATGATAGCAATGAAACCCCTAAAGGTGAATCCTCTTGCCTCCTTCCCATGACCATATTCAATTTCAGGCTCCTTTTCGGTCAATGCAACCTCAATCATGTCGGCAGACATTTTATCCGGTGGTGCCTAGCTGTCCCCGAGCGGCATTTCGGACAAGATTTGGCATCGCTCTTGTTCTCTGTTTATCTATCACAATTGGTTCAACGTTAGCCCACAGTGGTGCTCAAGCTTATGACGATTTCGACAACTACCTCATTAATTTACGAGACTCCCAAAATACTGATCCATATGATGTTTGAGACTTAAATTCACTTGAATGTAATTGCTGTTGATGAGCTTGACTTTGTCTTTCGACTGGATTTTATTCGCTTGGAAATAAATTAAAGCGGTTTACCTGCGCTAGTTTGATTTTTGCTTCAGCACCACGTTCTTCATTGCGACACAGCATATACACCTGAAAACAAATGAGCGAAAGGCAGTAAGACTTTCTTTGACCGGCCTTATGAAGTATTAGGCTGTTGCATAATTATTGCGGATTTTTTCGCTGCTTCTTTTTTCTTGATACATTTGATTATGGGATTCGGGATTTTCATGAGAATGATCTTCTGGATTTCCTCAACAGAAACATTTCTGGAAAGTCATATTCATATTTGTCACATTATGCTCTATTACTTCGAGAGAAGTTGAAGGTGGCAGGCGTCATTCTCATCTCAACGAACTTTTCGGTGATGAAACATTCAGCCAAAGTCAAGTAAGGAATAGGATTCACTCCTAAATTCGACGTATTGACCGAAAGAATTTTCTATGAACCTTCACGTCAATAGTTCCTTGAAAAATTGGCTAGCGAACAGAACTTATGACGAAATGGATGTCTTGAAGGCTGATGTCAAGGCGTGGATCGCCGCCAAGAATCGAAACCTGTCTGCCTTGGAAAACCGACTGCGTAGCAAATGGGAAGCAGTGCTTGACTTAGATGGTAGATAGGTTCCGGAGTAATTATGTGAACATGATTTTGTTCGGTATTTTTATCGTTTGATTATATAAAATTTGTTGAAAAAATTCGCAATAGTTATGCATCAACCTAATACATTATATTTGCAAGAGCTTAATCATAGCTGGCTTCTGGCAGGACAGTTCCCTTGACTGTAATAGTACAATAGGCACCTCAATATGGTACTAACTTGCCCATGGATTACGTCCCGACACTGGATGGCACTTGCACCAATAGCGACGAGAGGTACATAGGAATGGGTTACGGGCAAGGTTCAGGAAATTCAGGAAAAGAACAGGGCCCAATTCCTCCAAGATGAGTTATATGTGGATAATTTTATGTGAGGATATATCCAGGCATCACAAGGACTACAAATGGTTTTTCATGAACAACAATTAAGAGGTAGTAAGGTTAAACCTAGCACAAACCTTGGCTTTAGCAAGATTTAGCCCTCGCACAGTTTCCAGTCCAATACCACTGTTTGCGCCCGTCACCACAGCCACAAGTCCTTTAGCCGACACACGCTCGGTGAACTGAGCGCCTTTGAAGTACCTCCTGAAAAATTGCTTCGTCGTTGTTCACGATAGAATCTGATCACAGTAGCGCTCAGAAAAGACCATGAAACTACAAAGACATATGAGTTCTGGATTAGGAATCTTTCCTCACACCGCGGAGAATGTCAACTAAGATGATATTCCTGTATTTCTAGTGACAACTTGCAGGTCTGAGCCTTTATTGATTGCAGCCTGTTACTATCGCCTGATCGCAATCGTTTGACTGCAAATAGCACAGTACTTCAACTTTTCAGAAGCTTCTTGAAATCTCCAGGAGGACTGAGTATCTGCGATCATTGCACAGGAAATTTCTGAAGTCATGCGCAAAGGCGGGACTCCGAAAATTCACGAACTAATACCGCTTTAAAACCACTCAGGTCACATCCTTCTCGGCCCATGGCTGACTGCGCAGATGTGACATGTAAGGCAGATGTGTCTTAAAAGGTTGAAATCGCTGTAGGCGGCGCCGCGCGCGACGTGTGCGGCGTACCTAGTTCCATCGACGATAGTATCGGACGTTCCCAGACCCCAAAGATCATTCTGGTGAAAAAACTCTTTACTTACGGCAAAGTTCACCATAATTTTGGGTAATCCAGATTATGATGAAAAATGGAAGAGAAGATCGAAAACAGTGCGATGAAGGTGAAGAAACTGCGCGAATCGGTGTTTCCAAAGTGAAAAAGGCTTCGAAAAACCGTTAAAAAGGGGCTGGACGAAAATGAGACCAGAAAAATGAAGAAGAGTGGGGCGTTTGGACGAGCTATACAATGGGTCTCACTGCGTACGTGTGGGTCCTGGTACGAATAACAGACTATGGTAAGCAAAAATTCATTAACTTATAAGCGTAAGTAAACAAAAAAAACCTTAGTAACAGCAAGAGTAGCTCACCTTTTTCATCCTCTAGGAGTAGGAAATTAAATAAGGGATGGCGGCAGCCAAAAGAATAACAGAGGAAAAACGAATGGGCGAAAAAATCGCCTCATCACTCGGCGATTGGCTGATTGTGCGTGGGTTCTATAACGAACAGTTGCAATCTGTACTGTCTCGACACTTGTCTAACGTGAGGGGCGGGAAAGCGAACTACGGCAGCGACAGGGCGTCCACTATGCCCTAAGCGCCGAGATTGTGGGAGCGAGAGAGTCCCTTCTACCACCCATGGGGCGCTGGGTATTCCTAAAGGAAGAGCTCACTAATGCTTTTTATCGTGAACCGTGCCTTTAAGCTTTCTGATCAAACTCCACTTGATGATCATTTAGGGGATAGAAAGGGGATGAAAGAGACTCTACACTCCACAACTATTATATATGAAAGGTGCCGAGCGTTGGAGAAGGAGATACGTCCCTTGCGTTCCGGAAAAGCACACCCCTCCACGAAGTCCTCTCGCGCACTACCTTATGTTATATGTCGGTGTGTGGCTCTGTTGTTCTCCCTATATTTAAATTCCAAACGAGCACTGGGCTAGTTGCACTGGGCGGTAACAGGGTTTAATGGTCTCTAGAGAATCTCTATTTCCACTATTCTTATGTGTCAATGACCACAATAGGCTTCAGAACGGGGTCACTTCTTTTCATCAGATCTGGATGGTTGTTTAAAATTCTAGAATACTTCAGTTATAAAGAAGAAGCTTCGCACCTCCGCTAAGGTATTCGATTTCATTTCAACTCAATTCGATTCTCGGCGAAGAAGAACTGAGAAGGAATTGATTGATCAAGGATCCATAGGAAGAGGTAAAACACGCAGTTTCCATACCGGAAGCTTTACGGGTACAGCACTACAGATGTCCTTGTGGATGCATGCGTTCATTCATAGTTCGTGACTAGCACAAGAGGCATTTAAACGTCCTAAGAATGTGTTACACAGTGACCCAAAGACACGCTCAAGCGCTTCTAAACACATCATATATACGATGCAACAGGAAGGTACACGGGTGGAGCCCACGGGGATGGGTGAAGGGGTACTAGGGCGTTACTGTATCACACGTTAACGGGACGTTAAAACCCTTCTAATATGACTAGCTAGCAAATAGGTCTTAATGTCAAATGTCAATTGTCAAATGTCACTTACCTCACAAGGTAGGTGGCAGCACTGAGGACAACAACCACTAGTACGTAGTTGACGAAGCTGTCTGACTCAGTAGTTTCGATGTCCATCGGATTTTCTTACCTGAAAATCAAAATCACATTAAAATTCCTTGCGAGCTATTCACGAATGTATCATGAGAGAGTATGATGCGTGACGAAAAGCAGAAAACAGATCGATCGTCACCAAAGTGAATCAGCACACGAAATGATGAAACACAAGGCCCCTTCACTGGGTCAAGAACTGCTTCGGATACGGGCTATTCCTTCCGGTCGGATCACAAACAAAAACAAACAAACAAACGTGCATACAAGAAGTTTGCAGCAGTTATATCTCCGGAAAGGAAAGTACGGGTTCGAGTCCCGTCCGAAACTGAAGTTTTGTCAATAAATCGCCAACCTTGTGAGACTTTCGGAACGAATACTGCGGCGATATAACAGCAGTTAAGAAAACATCAAGTCAAAACAACTACTATCATGTAAAACTTACAGCTTATCGGTTCAATGCTGATATTGGCCGACCGGCTCACACGTTGTACGTGTGAGTGCTGATAAGCTATGGCGTATAAGCCACTAAGAAGGCGAGGGCAAGCGGGGTCTCGGTAGTGTAAGGGATAAGAGCACGGTCCCCGGAAAGGACAAGTACGAGTTCGAGTCTCGTCCGAGACTGAAGTTTTGTCCATAAATCGCCAACCTTGTGAAATAAGCAGAAGTTAGATGTAGTATCGGAATGTATCCTAAGAGTACCCTCATTTGAATAGCATATCGCCCAAAAGCTGTTTCTATGAGACCACAATCGACAGGTGCTTCCTTCAGTGTAAAGGAAACGACTCATAGAGTAATGACTGGGGTGTATCCACAAATCGGATAACCCATGACCTAGGAAACAGGCCTACATTATATGGAAGGCGAAATGATTAAGTCTGGGGTGTTCCCCGGGCACGACTTTCTCACATCTGGCCCCAAGAAAAGCCGTAATATCTTGCGACTGCGTTAGGTGGAATGCAATGCACAGCGCTGGTACCATGAATGCGCTTACTGCGCCAAATGGGCGCAATGGGCGCATTCATGGTACCTGCGCTCTGACGCACAACTCTGCATTAAAAGACGGATTTGTGTATTATTAGGGTGAATCATGAGTCCTCAGACAGTGTGATAGTAATGACTTCTAGAGATCAAGACTCGGGAAAGAGGAGACGAAGATAGACGCGTGGGCTTTGCTAGACAGAGTATGGAAAGCCCTTCAAAAGACATACTACCGCACACACCTAACTGTTTCCTTTCCTGCAACC